TTTGATTCTGTAAATAGAATTACTTAAATAATATCTCTACATCGATTATCATTAAGTATCGGTAGTTCAAAAAATTATATTAGGAAGCAACTATTAAGAATTCAAAGGTGAGACAAATACGGCCCGAAGTAGTTACAAAACGAGTTGAGCGTGTTTAAGTCAACAGTAGTACAAGAATTATTTAAATCCATAAAACGCGCGAGAGAAGAAGTTTCCAAATATTTTTGTAAATCGAGATTTTCAAAGTAAGTAGCAGGATAAACAAAAAGTATTAAATATAGACCGTCAGCTGTGCCGCGGTTACCATAGGTTTTGGCGCAGAACGCTGAAAGCGCCGTGTATTTACATAGCGCGTATGTTGTAACTACGTGGCTCTCCCAGCGGTGTAAACCAGAACCTATGGTAACCGCAGCACAGCTGACGGTCTATATTAATACTTTTTGTCTATGGTAACAGTAAGGAAAATAGGGAACCAATAGGTACAGAAATCTACTGGTTTCAATGGACGTTATAGAGTGGGTTTACGCTTATTGTAATGAAAAAAAAAAAAAATACAAAAAGGTGGTTATATTTGTTGAAAGGAATTAGAGCCCCATTTCCCAAATTTTTAATACTTACTTACAAGATGATCATTATTTTATTAGGATGAATGAGTTAATTGTGAAATTGTATATTTCATTTTACCATTGGTGTTACATTGAATTGTTTCCGTTGAACATGGTTTCAAATAAAAAGTTAGATCTGAGCCACCGAGCGCTCTGACAGAAGTTCACCAAACTTTATATGAAAATCAACAACTTCACTTCGTTTAGGAGTAACTTTGCCTAAAATGTGATGTCCAAAATGTTAAAAACAATTTGTTGCTCAGCCTCACTCCCCCACCTCTTTGTTTTTATCCCTACATTAATGCTTTCATTTAAATATTCATCACTATCGCTGTCAATTTCTGACATAAAATTTTTACTTTAAAAGTAATTGTAAATAATTAGGCCTACTCCTTGGCTATCGCAAAAGCTTTTAGTTACTGGGGCTTCAAGGGTGAGATTTTCCATATATCCTGTAGAAGATTGATTATATCTATTGCTACTTGAAGGGTTATTATTATTCCCTTTGATAATGTTATGAAGGATAGGACATAGCATTATCTTTTGAACTATGCTGGTTGGTAGATCATAATGCTTCTTGTGTGTAATTAAGGTGTGGCCCAAAACACTGGCTAAATAGTCTTGACATTGGGTATGGTTGGAATGTAGCCTACTGAAGGTGGCTGCCTAATTGCCTAATGTCTAAACCCATTCCAAATCATATGTTTTGGCCGTTTTAGATTAACTTTGGCAGCCATTGCCTTCAAACTCTCATTTGGTTTTGTGTGTATTTGATAGGAAAACCAAGATGTCGTTTGTAATTCGAACGTTCCATCTTTCGCCTATCAGTGTATCCATTACTTTTTTCATTATTGGGGTTAGTACCATTGGTACGATTTCAAGATTTTTGCCTGGAACGTAAAATGTATGAAATTTTTTACAAACATCAAAGTCACTCTCATCAATTTTTTTAGATTTGCCATTGGTATGAGGTCATTGTAGCGCGAGCTCTCGTTGTCAATCAAGGAACCCATTGGGAAGTGTTGGATTAAATAACGAGCTCGGAACGATTACAGAAAAACGATGATTTATTACATAAAAAAAAATTTAGATGCCAATTACTACACTTTTAAGTATTACACTTTGTATGTACTACACTGTACAATGTAATTACAATCATAAGGGAAATTAATATTTAAAAACTGTAAAAATAAAACTAAACAATCACAAATAACAGTATCTTGGTTTCAGTTACGCTACAAATATATATTTACAATACAATAATAATCACAATAAGCAAATATACATATAACGTGATATAAAACATTATTAAACCTAAAAAATTGCATATTTTGGCTTCTCTCACGATACGATATACAGCCCTATTTACAACACAATAATACTCAGCATAAACCAAAATTATAACAAAGACAATAAACTTTCAAACCAGATTACAAATAACGAATATTTCATTTACAAAGCAATTATAATCTCAATAACATTTTTATAAATATACTGCAATAAATCATTATTAATCTTAAACAAACAAATAGGCTAGTAGGCTACCGGTAACATTGTTTTGGCTCCTGCCGCGTTACGATGGAAAGTATATACAGGGTGTCCATAAAAAACGTTTTAGGACTTTGAGAAATGGATCCCCATACTAGAAGGAAGAAAACAGTTTGATCAGAAGATCGGACAACAGATAACTGAAATATTACGTTTTTTCTGTAAAAATAAGGCTAAGTTAGTCGGGGAACCCTAATTTTTGCCTTATTTTTACAGAAAAAAACGTAATATTTCAGTTATCTTTTGTCCGATCTTTTTGATCTTGGTATTGTTTGATAGGCAATTAAAAATGCTAAAAAAGTATTCTTGACATTTTTTCATAGAATTAGCCGTTTTCGAGTTAATAAAGTTAGAAAAATTCAAACGGCCGCCATTTTGAAATTTACAATCGGAACAACTTTATTATTTTTTCTATAATAGGTCTTGTGTATGGTAACATGTTTACCAAGTTTCATAATCATCGAATAAAAAACTTCACAGATAAAAATATTTTTGTATAAAAAACAAAATGGCGGATATCTGGGTAAATATGCATTTTCGGACATACCTTCCCATAAACTTTTTTCTTCCTTCTAGTATGGGGATCCATTTCCCTAAGTCCTGAAACGTTTTTTATGGACACCCTGTATATGACGAAATCAAAATGCAATCAAAACCTTATAAAACAATAAAGTTAAATACCACTTATTATAAGGGCATTAAATTTTATAACAATCACAAGCAGTCTCTGTGCTATAGTCACGCTAATACAAGACATATATTTACATTTAATATAACAAATTATATCTAAACTGAAAAGAAATAACATAGTTTTGGCTTGTGTCACGATACAATACATACATTTACAAGTGCCAAACAAAATTAATTTACCTCAAAATATTAATCTGCCGCTTGATTCACTTTTAGTCCATCAAAGTTCCCCGACACCAGACATATCGCTGAGATCCTCACTGGTTCCTTCGTCGTCGCTGCTGTTGTCCACATTTATTATAAATTGCTCCGTAATATCATCAATAGCTGGTTCTTTGGCGGCGTATTCGTCTTCCACTTTTTTCACGTGCTCACATCTTGATCTCCAATCGTCAGCAGTTATAGAAGCAATTTTTTTTCATTGTGGATGTAGCTTCCGGATTGCCAAATAATATTAAAAAGGTTGAAATACCTGCTATTAAGCAATCCATTTAACTGGATTTCAAATGGATTGCTTAATAGCAGGTATTTAAACCTTTTTAATAAATTTTTCTTCGCATAACTTTTGCACATCGGCCAATTTAAAGGTGGTGTTGTGTGATGCGACATGGTTCTTAACTTCCGCCCAAATCATCTCGATTGGATTTAAATCCGTATGGTAAGGAGGAAGACGTAGTACGGTGTGACCTTGATTTTCCTTTTCTAGGATGTCGTCTAGGACGTATTTTACATGTCGGGGTTTATGTTCCTGGACGATTCTATAAAGTTGCGGTTTTAACATAGACAATTCGTAGGGGATATTTCGCTCATCGAGCCACTTGATCATGTCTTCTTTTCTGCTATTGGAGTTTGGCGCTTTGTCAATTTGTTTGTTGTGATAATTTGCGTTATCTATTACCAATACCGATCGGGGCTGTATATTTGGTAACAACTGGTTAGTGACCCACTGAATGTAATTCGAATTGCTCATATTATCATGATAATCGCCGGTTTTCTTCCCTGCTTTCCACATAGCCAAAGCGTTGAGGACAAACGCTTGTTCCCCTCCAGCATGGACAATTATTAACCTTTCCCCCTTAGATACTCGAGTATGCAATACATTTTTAGATCCATCCGACCACATTTTACCCGACACATGATCCGTACATACATAGCTCTCATCCATGTATATAATGGGTCTACCCTCTTATCTGAGTTTTTTTATCGCCTGAAGATAAGTGATTCTTTTTTCTCTATTTTTTTATAAGTATTCTCCTGTTGTTTTGCGTTCTTTTCCAAGAAAAACCTAACTTTTTCAAAATTATATGGACGCTCTCTTCAAATCCACTAAAATTAATTTTTTCCCTGAGTAAGTTTCGCAACAGTTTTGCAGTTGGAAGCTTTTTTCTGTTATATAAAATTCGTACATTAACCTCTGGACGCCACACTCGTCGAAATTGTCCAACCCGGTGATGGGCTTTTGCCTCTTTCTGTTTTTATTAGGCGTTAAAAATATTTTACTCCCTCTTTACTTACGTGAATCGCTTCAAACTCCTTGTTAATCCGTGAAATTGAACGTTGTGACACTCCCGTAGCTGCTGCAGTCCGCTCTCGCGCCTTCTGGATGGGTACAGTCAATCCGTTGGCACTCTCTTCCCTCATAAATTTGAATACAGCTCGTGACATCTAAGCTGGCTTTTGGCCGATCGCTACTAATACCTATTTCAAAAACATTATGTCCCGTCATGCGGGTTGTATAAACTGTCTTCGCGACCTATATGAAGGCGCTCAAGTACATAATACAAGGGGAGTCAACCCCGTGAGGCAGCGGAAATGTTTGCAGTCCGGTCGTTTCCCTACCTCAACCCTCCTCCCGCCTACTCTGCCCGCGCTAGGCCAAGTGCCAGCTTAGGTGTCACGAGCTGTACGTTCGACACTATTTCCCTACTTTGGCTTGTTAATACTTTGCCCCCAATCCCTACCTTAGATTTAAAGTCCGCCCTATTAACACTTAAATGTTAATCAATAACTAAAATTAGCACTCCAGCACAACACTCCAATAGCACATCTGACGACTGACTGATACAAGTAGAGTGTTTAGGAATTCTAGAATGTTGTCATAACAGTGGCTACTATTAGTCATCATCGGGGGCACAAACCCCGTGAGTCAGCGGCGGAATGTTGGCAGAAAGGTTTTTACCTGGCTTCCACCCTCCCCCCGCCTACAATGCCTACCCTGCCGCGCCTGGCCCCAAGTGCCAGCTTAGCTGTGACTAGCTGTACTACTACTGTTACAATATAGATACTTTTAAATCACTTTATAATAGTTATAATAATAATAATACCGGAAGGTCAACGTGAACTAGATATGAAGAGTGAGAGAGAGAGACGCACGCAATTTATGCACGGCACATGACGGGAAGCGACTGAAACAGATACATGGACTCCACCCGGTAAGGTGGAGATAGAGGGGGAAATTGTCACACCGTACGGGGCTGTCTATACTATTATAAAAAAGAGGTGGTTGCTGTATGTGTGTATGTGTGTATGGGAAAAGTAAACTCGAAAAATACTGAACCAACTGGGTTGAAATTTCACACAGAGGTAGATCTTGAACCTGGGAAACATATAAGCCTATTCACTTCCTTAAAATCCCCTCGGGCTACGCCCCGTGAACGTCCTTAGCTTCCATGTTTACATTTTATAAGGATGTAAACAATCAAATACTGAATTGTAAAAATTTTTAAGCAGCTGTAGATATTGCAATTTGACAGAAGCCTAATAGCAGTCAGACTGAGGTATTTTTGGTCTATTTGTGTTTCAGATGTTTTTTATTGTCTTACTTGATTTGTATTTACAAGCATTGATGAAACTGAGTGTTCATTCAGTTTGTATTTGAATAACTTTATTTGAGCTGAAATCAAATGTGCTTGAAAGTATTGATTAAATGCCAAATAGAAAAAGTAACCTCTCCCAAAAATAAAAAAAAGCCAGAGTAAGTGCCCAGTTGCGTGATGAAGAAACCCCGGCTCAGCGCGAAGCCCGACTGGCGGCAAACGCGGAGAGAGCGGCTGCTTCACGTGATGAAGAAACCCCGGCTCAGCGTGAGGCGCGTCTAGCTGCAAAGGCGGGGAGAGCGGCTGCTTCACGTGCTGAAGAAACACCGGCTCAGCGTGAGGCGCGTCTAGCTGCAAAGGCGGGGAGAGCGGCTGCTTCACGTGCTGAGGAAACACCGGCTCAGCGTGAGGCGCGTCTAGCTGCAAATGCGGAGAGAGCGGCTGCTTCACGTGCTGAGGAAACACCGGCTCAGCGTGAGGCGCGTCTAGCTGCAAATGCGGAGAGAGCGGCTGCTTCACGTGCTGAGGAAACACCGGCTCAGCGTGAGGCGCGTCTAGCTGCAAATGCGGAGAGAGCGGCTGCTTCACGTGCTGAGGAAACTCCTGATCAGCGCGAGGCCCGTCTAACTAATGACAATGAAAGACGTTTTAACCAAAGATTAAGCCAGACACCACAAGATCGTGAAAATCTTTTAAGACAAAGAAGGGATGAAAGAGCGAATTTCATGCGTATGACATGGGATCAGTTTAGGGGTATAGCTTTTAACTACGATCCAATTATGCCTTATAACAATCATGGACTTTTAATGATTGGTGGCATGACCAACATTTGCAGGCACTGTGGCGCGTTTAGGTGGAAAAGTGAAAGCCCTGGGATCTGTTGCTCTATGGGAAAAGTAAAACTTCCAGTGCCTGAGCCACTAAAATCCCTTCTTGCTGGGGAATCTCCCACTTCTAGAGAGTTTTTAAAGAAAGTGCGTCAATACAACACATGTTTTCAAATGACATCGTTTGGAACAAGTGGTCAGGTTATTTCCCATAATTATCCTACCACATTTACTGTGCAAGGACAAATATACCACCGTATTGGTTCAATTTTACCGACAGAAAATCGTGAGCACAGTTTCCTTCAGGTATATTTTATGGGCGACAATAATCAAGAATTATCTAGACGTTGTGACAACATCCAAGATTTAAATCGGAATACAGTGAACACTTTACAACAGATGCTTCATGAAAACAACCAACTCATCCGTACATTTAAGTTAGCAATGGATCAGTGGCCAGCAGATGAACTAAAGGTGATCATTCGTGCCGACCGTCGGCCCCCTGGAGAGCATGAAAGACGCTTCAATGCACCCACAACTAATGAAATAGCTGCTGTCATTGTTGGCAATGAGTTTGAAACACGTGACATTGTTCTTCGACGGCGCGACGAGACTCTGGTTAGGGTGGCGGAAACACACAGGTTTTACGATGCTCTGCAGTATCCTTTGATATTCTGGAAAGGTCAAGAAGGATACCATTTTTGCATTCCACCAAATAATCCTGCCAACAATCAACCTGTTTACAACAAAAAGATAACTTCCCTCCAGTTTTATTGTTTTCATCTTATGGTTAGGAATGGTAGCTTCTCCATTCATCTGTACAAACAACTGTTGAATCAATTCGTTGTCGACATGTTCGTTAAAATTGAGTCAGAAAGACTTCATTTCAATAAAAAAAATCAAGGAAAACTTAGGGCAGAAAACTACATCCATCTCCAAGACGCAATTGCTGTTGACGGTACTACGAACCCTAACAACCTTGGTCAAGTAGTCATTCTGCCATCAACGTTTACCGGCAGTCCACGTTATATGTACGAACATGCTCAGGATGCGTTGGCCTATGTAAGACATTATGGGAGACCAGATTTGTTCATCACAATGACCTGCAATCCTAAATGGGAAGAGATTACCTCAGAATTGTTTCCAGGACAAAAAGCAACAGACAGACACGATGTAGTTGCTCGAGTTTTTCGACAAAAAATCATAAAGTTTATTGCCGTTATCACCAAAGGTGAAATATTTGGTTATGTAAGGTGCTGGATGTACACTGTGGAGTGGCAGAAACGCGGTTTACCTCACATTCACGTTCTGACTTGGCTGTCCGAACAAATCCAACCCAACAAAATTGATGACATCATAAGAGCAGAAATTCCTGACAACACTGTCGATCCCCTTCTATACGACATTGTTATAAAGAACATGGTGCATGGTCCATGTTGTAACCTCAATCCTAACTCCCCATGCATGAAACATGGAAAGTGTACAAAAGGGTATCCAAAATCTCCTATTAAAGAGACTCAGACTAACGAGAATGGCTATCCACTGAACAGAAGACGCAGCCCTGATGACGGTGGCAGAATTGCTCATATCAACATGACAGCCACTGGTAACAATCCTGTACAAATTGATAACACATGGATTGTTCCTTACAGCCCACTACTAAGCAAGTTATTTAATGCTCACATAAATGTCGAAATTTGTAGTTCAGTTAAATCGATAAAGTATATATGCAAATACATTAACAAAGGCAGTGATCAAGCAGTATTTGTACTTCAAGGCGAAGTGAACCAACATAACCGCCGTGACGAGGTTGAGATGTATCAGTCGGGTCGGTATGTCAGCAGTAATGAAGCTTTCTGGAGGATATTTAGTTTTCACCTTCACGAGAGGTACCCAACAGTGACACACTTAAGTGTTCATCTAGAAAATGGCCAACGTATTTACTTCACTGACCGAAACATGCACGAAATAATCCAAAACCCTCCAAACACTACTTTAACTGCTTTCTTCAAGCTATGTCAAAATGATCCATTTGCCAAAACACTCTTATATTGTGAAGTGCCTCACTACTACACATGGAATGCCACTAGAAAAAAGTTCCGGCGTCGACTATTGGGCGTTCCTGTTGAAAACAATCCAGGTATAAAGTACAGCGATGCTCTGGGTCGTGTTTACAACATCCACCCTAACAACCTTGAATGCTTTTGTTTGCGAATGCTTTTGCACAAGGTGCGTGGTCCGACATCCTTCCAAGACCTGAGGACCGTTGAAAATGTCATATATGCAACTTATAAGGAAGCCTGTCAATCTCTCGGTCTTTTAGAAGACGAAAATCACTGGGATTCCACAATGCAGGAAGCTGCCTTAGTTAAGTCAGCGCCACTCATACGCCAATTGTTTGCCATTCTCATTAGTTCATGTGGGCTTCTAAACCCTTTACATTTATGGGAAAAGTATAAGAGTGACATGTCTGAAGACATACTCCACAGACACAGAGTTGCAGTTCCTCAATTGGAGGTAAATGACTTAATCATTAACGAAGCTCTCAAAGATCTTCAACAGAGAATTTTGTCTATTTGTGGAAAGGATCTTAGCGCTTTCGGTTTACCAAGACCTCATTTAAATTTGGAAGCCAACACAGAAGTACTCCGTGAAAGGTCTTATAACCCTGATGAGCTTGCACAGTATGTCCAAGAAATGACACCGAAGCTACTTCCTGAACAACGAAATGTCGTAGACATTGTTCTTACAAAAATAATCAACCAGGAAAGTGCAGTTTTTTTCTGGACGCTCCTGGTGGCTCTGGGAAGACGTTTGTTATGAAACTTTTGCTCGCACATATTCGGAAAGAAAACGATATTGCTATGGCTGTTGCATCTTCAGGTATTGCCGCCACTCTTTTACCGGGAGGTAGGACAGCACATTCCGTTTTTAAACTTCCCTTAAACTTGACAAGCACAGAAAGTGCCACATGCAATATCAGCAAGGACTCGGAGCGGGCAGCTTTACTTCGTCAGTGCAAACTTCTGGTCTGGGACGAGTGCACAATGTCCCACAAGCGAGCTCTAGAGGCTTTAAATCGATTATTGCAGGATGTCAGGGGGAACAGTCTATTGATGGGTGGCTTGGTAGTGCTCTTAGCCGGAGATTTCAGACAAACTTTACCAGTCGTACAAAAAGGGACTCCTGCAGATGAGATCAACGCATGCCTCAAAACTTCTATCCTTTGGAGTCATGTTACCAAACTACACCTAACCCAGAACATGAGAGTGCACCTATTTAACGACGTTGACTCAGGACAGTTTGCTCATGATCTTTTGACAATAGGCGAAGGAAGAGTACCTTCAGATGTTCATCAGATGATCAACCTACCTAACAAGTTTTGCAATTTTGTTTCTTCTACTGAGGACCTTATTTCATCAGTGTTTCCAAACATTGCAGTTAATTACAGTTCAAGTGACTGGCTATGCGAAAGAGCTATACTTTGTCCAAAAAATGACGCGGTTAACAGAATAAATAACAAAATCCTTACATCTCTACCTGGTGAAACCACCACTTTTAACTCAATAGACACAATTATGGATGAAGAACAAGCTGTAAATTATCCAAAGGAGTTCCTCAATTCTTTGGAACTTTCTGGAGTTCCACCCCATGAACTTTGTCTTAAAGTTGGTGTGCCTGTTATGCTAATGCGAAATTTAGATGCACCGAAGTTGTGCAATGGAACAAGGTTAGTTATAAAAAGCATCAGACGCAACATTGTTCAGGCCACAATAATTACAGGCTACGCTAAAGGCGAAGATGTCATTATTCCTAGAATCCCGATCATACCTACAGACCTACCATTCAATTTTAAAAGGCTTCAGTTCCCAATAAGAGTAGCTTTTGCTATGTCAATTAATAAATCTCAAGGGCAAACAATGAAGGTGGCGGGACTTCATTTGGAAAACCAGTGCTTTAGTCACGGTCAGTTGTATGTGGCGTGCTCCCGTGTCTCCAGTGGTAAAAACCTTTTCATTTTAACATCACTAGAAAAAGTCACAAACATTGTATACAAAAACGTGCTCTAAGATAAGCATTTGACTGAAAATATTATTTTAATAAAGATAAAACTATTGGTAAAGGTTTACTTTTTTGTTTATTATTTTATCTAAAAGTTGGTTTATATTTTTTTGTTTGTCTAAAATTTATGAGATAGTTTTAAGTATCAATGATGATTTTTTTATACTAAAGGTACAACGTTCTTCCACACTTAATTTTCACCCCGTTGCGAAGCACGGGTATAGCAGCTAGTACTCTATAAAAAACTCTGAACATTACAATGTTAAATTGTGGCGTGTTTCATGAACAAAAACTGCGCAACGTAGAGACAAACGCATGCGTTGCTCATTCCATACACGTGTCACGGCTGCGAGCTCTGAATCAGATATACACTTCACAACTGAGTTACGATTTATAATATCATTCTGACTGATGAATGTTGTAACGTTACTAAAATAAATCCATAGGAAACCTGTATTTCCTAATACATTGATGTATGTTACTAATAAAGTTATTTGAGTATCCTGTATTATTCATGATGAAAATAAAAAGTGAAGTTAATGCCAGTGGCCAAAATTGGGGGCTGGTGGCGCTTGAGCCGTCACACTTATGTTTGTCAATATTAGTGTAGTGTAACAATTTCGCTATATTAAAGTCAGTTGGCCTACGACGGACAAGAAGCATTATGAGACACCAAGATGTGCATAAGAAGATTATATGTATGATTTTTTTCTTTATCTCCTTTTAAGTCTGCAATTAATTTCCTATAATTACCTTCAATGTACGACACATTATATTATTCAACTTTACTGCTACTTTGTCACATTTATTGACTTGTTCGAACCTTACAAGTGATGCACCTGTCTTTGGCAGTTCCTCTTTCATCAAATCTCTGGCTATACCACTTAATTCTCTAGTTTTTTTTGCAAGGATGCAAACATTGTGACGTATTTAAATATACAGGGTGAGGCAATGAAATCGCCCCAATTTATAAATAGTACTAACTCAATAATATTCACCATATAGATATAAATAGCACATCAAAACAAAGTCATGCAATTACTTTCCTATGATTGCCTTCAATGTACGACACAAACTTAACTATGTCTTCTTCAAGGGCAACTTTTTCATCCCTGAAGACTTTTGCCAATTTTTGAGACTTTCTACAAATCCTTCCTAATTTATTTTTCCACTGTGAATTCATTAGATCTAAAAAGTCATTAATCATGTCTATTGAATTGCGGTTTTAACTAATACCTTTACACAAGTTACTTAATCTTTGTTGCTTTACAATTTCAGCTGTTATTTTTACTGGTTGACTCAATCTATAAGAAACAGAGGGAACGCCTGAGGATCCAGTTTTTAGATCATATCCTGCCATGTTCAAAGCAGATTTGACCATTTCATCGAAATATTTAGGATTGGAACAATCCTCAAAGCAACTAATATTACTATTTTCTCTTTTCTTTTCAATGAAAAGTCTACTTAGATCCCTGATTTCCCTAATTAAAGGTGGGAATTTACCTTTCGTTTGCTTTGCTCATTAATAGCTCCGACAATCCTCGTTTTTGATGGGTCATGGCAAAAGCTAGTTTCATCACAATTAAAACGTCTGATCGGTGCGAGCATGTTCAATGTTTTGTGGTAATTTAATAGAAAGGCGATGTCTCTGTCTGAAGGAAATGAACCAGTCAGGTCCAGGGCGGATGTCTTTGAACCGTGTCACCAACTTATTTTTTACAATGTAGCACTGGATAACATCTAAAACTTCTTCACAGGATAAACCAAACACATTTCTGTCCATAATTCTTATGCAGTTAGCCAGTTCGAGTTCATCATGTGTGGATAAATATGATTTTACACCTCCCCCCCTTTACCTTCATTAGATGTATGACCTTTTCATCGAGTACCGTGTACCCGATGCTTCAGGGTACTGTGTGGGATGTTGTAAGCGGCAGCTGCTCCACGGATGGTCTTACAGTATTTCCATTCTGGACATCATTGAGCTCCTTCGACTGTGTAGTTTGTGCCAGCACTCTTCTCCGTCTTCCTCGTGTAGTTGCGCACCATTGCCTGAAAAAATGTAGGTTTTCAGTCAAGCTTCAAGCAAATTAGGCTCTAGTGTTAAGATAAGCAAATCAGAATATAAAAAGCTTTTCTATAGGCTGGTGAAGTTAAGTAGTTAAATTAGGCTCCAATGCAGCTCACCAGAAAAAGATCCAACCAACAGGCTGCTTTATCCACTTGACTACCAAAAGCACAACGTTTAATCAATCCCGTTTAACCAATAATAAATAGTTGGTTCACTTAAGGTTAGGCAAGTTTTGTTTTAGGATATTTAAGAATAGGTTTCAGTACCACTCTTCATTAAGTGGGGCAACTGGGTCCTCTTGGGGTAACTGGGTCCCTTTGAACCCAGTTACCCCAAGCCCCTGGCCCAGTTGCCCCTTTTTCTCATTTCTCTCGGGGTAACTGGACCACCCCAGCCAACTAACCTAAAAGCCCACTGAGAGATACAATGCATAGATTAATGTGTTTAAGAAGTATTTAAGATTATTTTACGATAGTTAGCATCAATTCAATAATTACATGCTATTCCTGGGACGTAGCTTCAAGTTGACGAGCAGCTCGTTGTAAGTGGAAATTTCCAGAGTAAACTTTGACACACATCCAACTCAAGAAAATTGCTGCATATGGGTTTAGAGCTGATGTTTTGGAGGGAAAACAACCAGAAGCAGGTGTACCAATGGAATCAGCCCAAAATTCCCACAAATAAAAATATGCATTACCTATGGCCCAGATACCCCAAGGCCCAATTACCCCAAAGCACCTACATTTGATCGACTAGCATTTCACGTCTGCTTCGGTGAAAATCATTACCAAATGTCATGAAAGGGTCCTCCACTGCTACTTGGGAAACTGCATCTAATTTGATGCCATTCAATATTTCATCAGCAAACTCGTTATTTACAATGCTTAGAATGTTTTTATTTACGTGTGGAAGCGAGTGATCTTTTAAGGCATGTACAACTTGTGATAAAATAGGGTTTAGATTTAGAAACTTCTCACACTGTCTCAAATTAATCGACAATTTGTCTCGGCGATAATAGCCTTGACAATGTTCACAAATTATGCCTCCTACAGAATTTGTATTTTTATGACTAGACTTATTGATCTTAATGCCAATACAGAGAGGCCTCTTCAGTTTCTGGGTGACGCTTTTCTATGTGTTCTGCGAGTCTGGTCACCAAATGTTTACAATAAATGCAATAGTTTTTTTTTCCACTTTGCTGAAGTTGGCTGTTTAGTGGTTGCAATTTCGCTGTCGTTGACACATTCTCCCCCTTCGTCCATCAACGATTCTATGTCGTGTTGGGTTGTGTCCTGTCCCTCTGAGAAACGCTGGTCGAATTTTTCAGGGAAATCAATACAGGCCACAAAGTTCTAGAAATAGAATTTATACTAGGTTATTTTGTAATTAAAATATAAACAAGGTGAAAAAGTATGGACAAAGTCTAATAAATATATGGTGTTGGTTAAACTATACCAAAATCAAAAGCATCGAGTTGTAAACAACTGCAATTTTTGGAAAATAATTTCAAATTTACCTTTAAACACTTGGCAATGAAAATGTTTCTGCCTTGTGAACAAAATTATAATTTATTTTGTTTCACTACAAAATCGTTCCCAAACAGGTAATTTAAATGTTATTAAGGCTCATTTAATTATATTAGGGGTTATTTCTTCAAATGCATTTTTTTAGGTTTAAACAAGACAGCTGC